AGCACAAAACTTCTGAGTTCTGAACCCCAGTTCGGTGCTCTAATATATTATCCTTCCTTCCTTGTAACCAATAATAAAAGACAAGGACATTGTATTTTGAGATTCTGTTGAAACACTAGTTTAATTCTCATTTTTTATATTACCAGAACCCCTAAATGGATTTATATAAATGTATTACAGTTACTTATTTTGTGTGTGTATCTCTAAGACATGCACAAACACATAAATATTGCAATATAGTATTTTCACAGTATTGACATATTATACAAATAATGCAAAAGTAACTTTATCACAGTGAGCCAAATTCCATAAAGCCTGCATGGAATTTAATTGCACTAATCTTCCCAAGATGAGGAAAGATTGAAATACACAGTATGTGACATTCACCTGTTTTACAGTAGGCTCTCCTTTTTTTATATACATGTGTTAATACAAGTTACACTAATGTCTACTGCATATGATAAACTTTGTGGCCAACATTTTCACAGTGGCCTTTAGTTATGGGTGCCCAATTTAAAATCCCTTGGGCTTTTTTTTCAGTGTTGAGCACTCAACTCCAAATGTAGTCAATGGAAGCAGTAATGCTCAGCACCTCTGAAAATCAGCCTCAAAATGTCTCAGACTGGAAACTCAAAATCTGAGATTGTACTTGAAAATGTTGGCCTGTGTTATTTAGGAGCCTTGACTCTGAATTTACTCTGAAGTTACAAGATCAGGTCCTAGAAGAGGTGCAGAAAAAGATGCAGGTATCCGATTAGGTAACTTGATTATGCTTCACTGCTTCTAGCTCCGTATCTCTCTGCATTTGTCATTTTTATTAGCTTCTTGTTTAAATCCAACCAAGGATCAAATAATCAGTATGATATTAGTATTAGTATTTCAAAGATATTAATGTGCCATGATATCTGGGTAAAATACATTCAATACAATTTATAATGGGAAGTCTCCGTTATACAAATACAGTAATCAATAATGGCTAACACAAGCTGAAAATATAAGTTTTGAAAGATGAAATATCATCACAGAAGTTACTGAAGGTACCTCTCTCATTCTGCTGAAAACTGTCTGAAATAGAACCAGACTTCCAAGGAAAACAGTATACAGCTAGTTGAAACAAAGGGATTAATCAAAACAAACCAGTACCTTGCTGATCTCACAAGATGCTGTATTTAATTAATGAAAGCTGCTTCTGTGTTTCAGAAGTGAAGATGGTTGGGAGACCAGTACTATTGTGATGTTGGCCCAACAGAGTGTTTCCACAGCTTGGGACAAATTTCTGATGCAAATAGATTCAACTCCACTGAAGACAATGGAGTTGCACCTATTTACACGTTGGTTAATTTGGCTCTTTTTGTCTAATACCTTTTCATGAATCATACATATTACTTCCCGATGGCTGAGAAAGTCATAAAAACTCTGCTCTGCCTCTTGGAACCTTTGACATTCTCAAATACAGACATAACAATGGATTGCATCAGGCAATGCCTAAATCTACCATTGATTTTTCTCTTTTTTTTTTTTTTAAAGAAAGTCAGATGTTCATGGCCAATTGATCCCTTGAGTGAAACCTTTTATCTCCACAGTTATTACTTTCATCTACCAATAGATACTCAAAACAAAACCAAGAACCTCCCCACACCTGGGATTAAGTCTGATTTCATTTGCAGTGGTTTCTTATCTGTGTAACACCACTGAGTTCAACTGATTTACTCCTGATTTACATACGTGCAACTGAAAGTAATATTAGGCCATAAGAAGACCACATAAACCAGTAACAATGAGGAAATTTAAAAATTGAGGCTGACACTGTAACTTTGTTTTGTAATGTGCCAACAGAAACACAGACACAAATAAGCACGCTGATCCAAACATTTATACAATTCCTAATTGGGGGAACACAAAGTTAATGATAAAGGTAAACTGTGAGTCATAATATAATTAGCAAATGTGCTAACTTCAGAAAAGTGTTTAGGGGAAGGTAAAGGGCCTTTCCCCACCTTCCCTATAGAGAAATCAGACCTTAGCCACAGAAGGAAAAGAGAACATATAACAATGTGAGCTATTTTGAGGATGTAGGGTTAACAGCTTTCATATGGTATTTCTTTTCTTTCATCACTTTATTTTGGATTCTTAACATTATTAAAACATTTTTTCTATTGAATTTCCTTGTTTTATTGTATTGGAATTTACTCAAAAAACAAAGAGGGCTTCTTCAAAATAATATAAATCTCTCTCAGACATACAAGCATTACAAGGGCCATATCATGTCATCACCACATGTGTAGATTTTCCACTAATGTCAATAGCTAGTGGTGTATGTTGGCCATGACTCAAGAGTATGATAGTCCCTAGATTATTTCTGCAAATACATACAGTCTGTTATATAATTTATTGGCTCTCCTATGTGCACTTTTACCTGAGGGATTATACACACTTTTCTTCAAAACTGTTCTGTGTCTACTTATTTAGGCAATTTTTTAAAAAATGATGCTACATTCAATAGACAGCAACAGCTAAACTGATCTCCTGAATAAATACAGAGCTAGATAATTTTTAAAAAATGATATGTCATGTACCAGGTGGTCTGGGACAGGTTTCACGGTGTACTGTTTTAAAATGTACTTCGGATGTAGCTTGTGCATAGTAACCACATTCAGAAAAATGATTTTCAATAATGGCAAATATCTAATCTGTTTTGAAATTTGTTGTCCTCTTTTGTTCAAAATGGACAGAGCAGTGAAATCAGACTAAGAATTGATGACTTCCTAAATGTTACATTTTGAAATAAAATATATTTTGGGCCACATTATTATTATAATTTATTTCTATTTTGTTTGTGCCTCGAGGCCCTAATTCACACGCAAAAGAAAAGGATAGTTCCTCCCCTAAAGAGCTTGCAATAGCAGTAAACTGTAGTCTAGGTGACCTTTTGCATATTTAAACCAGTAATGTAAAAGTGGCTGCTACAGTCATGCAGTTAATGAAAGCTGAGTAACACAAGATGACAAATTAGTATAAGCACCCTAAATAACTTCACTAATTGAGCTAAGGGCTCAGTCCTGCTTCCAATGCCAGAACTCCCATGGACTTTAAAAGAGCCTGCTCTCATTGTTGGTTGTATTGTGGTATCAGAGCATTGTGGCTCCATTGTGTGAAAATTCATACAAACACATAAATAAGACTTTCTTTGCCTGGAAGAGCTTATGGAGTCAGGTCTCGATTTCTCATACACTTGTATTTAGTATTGTGGTGCTCTCGTCAGGTTATCTAACGCTCGTTTTTAAATATCTTAATTTTCTTGCCAGGAAATTGTTAACATGCCCAAGAGCTGGAGTAGTATAGCTGGCATTAGTGTTTGGATATGTCATGACTTCACACACATGCTGGATAATGATGATATTTCTTCCATTGAATACAAATTGTTAGATTGGTACCATATCTGAGAAGCTGCCAATGACACGTCACTAAGCTTAACATCTGTCAGCAACGACTTTTACATAGCATGGTGTCTTTATATATTGTTCTCAGTGTAAGTAAAAGTTATGTATATTGTTAAACCTATGAAAAACCCAAGCCCATAAACAAGAAAAACTCTCACTAACATGGAAACTGATGCCTAAATGAAGTCAGTCTGTGTACGTGTATATACCTATGAGTCAAAACATTTTCAGTCGATTCAATCATACTCCTTTTTATTTTATATCCCCTCATTATAAATATTTTAATATTCATGAGAAAAGAACAAGACTTTTAAAAAGTGGTTACAATATAAAAGAAAAAATGTACATTCTAAAATTTAGATGGGGAATGATAGTAGTATTCTGAAAGCACAGAAAGTAGTATTCTGAAAGCACAGGCTGGGATAGTAGTATTCTGAAAGCACAGGCTGGGATTTCTATTTTTACCAGGATCAGTGAGTTCCTAAGTCACCATGTGTACTTTCCCTTATCTCTCTCTATGCCTCATTTTCTCCATCTGTAAAATGGGTAGAATAATAGTTTCTTTCCTTAGGTTATGTCTATTCAGCAGCTGGGAAAGTGCTTGCAGTGTGGGTACACAGACATGTGCTAGCTCTGCTTGAGCTAGCATGCTAAAAATAGACATGTGGCCACAGCAACATGCAGGGCAGCTCAGGTTAGCCACTCTAGTACAGACTCCATGGGAATGTACTGCAGTGTAACCCCATAATAGCTTACATTGATATAAAGGAGCCAAAGCAATTTACAGCTCTATACATACAGTACTGTTGAAATGCAGCCACCTCTGGGGTGGATGACAACCAACTGGCATACAGTAGTGTAGAGAGGGAAAATTTTAGCCAAGGATAGCAGGAAAAACTCTTTTTAAGGGAAGTGTCATGGAAAAAGACTCATGCATAGTAAACTGCATGGACCTCAATTTGTCTATGTTGGTAGAATGAAGAAATGTGTAAACCTGCAGGATCCTTCCCCCCTCGTGTGTTCATAACTAACACTGATGTCAATGAGGATGACAGGCAGTATGCCTATGTAGATGAAAGAGATTGTAGTATGCAGCTGATCACTGAGGTCACACCCCTATTATCCAGCAAAGAGATCTTCATAAGTGTTGAAATCAAACTCTAGTTTTTTAAATACTTAAATGAAATCTTCTGTTTTCTCTAACAAACAAAACACATAAATATGCCGGATGGAAGAGGGGACTCATTTATATACGTTGGGGATTATGATTGGACCAACACAGATCTTTCCTAATTAACTGCAGAAAGACACACCAATTGCCATTAGAAAGGTGAAGGAAAGTCCTTAGCTTTGCCGTGAGATGTCATTTGACCTATAACCCTGATGTCATGATAATGTGGATTTTTAACATACATGTTCTTCAAACAGGAACATCCTCTAGAGTGTACAACTTTAAGTCAAACTTGTTTTTTTATTACAGTATCTATTAAGCTAGCCTCAGATGCTTTATAGAAAACAGACACAGCAAACTTGAGACTGGTAAAATACTAAAACACTTACATAGGGGACTTCATTTGTTGATCTCAAAGGGCTTGACAGGACGGTAAGTATCACTATCACCCTGTCCATACAAAGATGCTGAGTCACAGAGTGGTGAAGTGATTTGTCCAGGGTCATATGGTAAGTCAGTGACAGAGCTGGCAGCAGAACCCCAGGTCGCTTGGCTCCCCTACAAACACATTATTTGTTAGGATTCTGATTGCATCACAAAGCACAAGAATTTTCTGGTGACATCATAAACTACATAAACTACTCACTCACATTGCTCCAGTTTTCTTCAATGGGAGCTTTGCACTTACATCCAATGACAGCATTTCATTCAGTATCATAGAATCATAGAAATGAGGTCATCAAGTCCAGCCCCCAATGCTGTGGCAGGAACAAATAAACCTAGACCATCCCTGACAGTTGTTTGTCCAACCTGTGCTTAAAGATCCTCCAATGATGGAGACTCTACAATCTCCCTTGGAAGCATATTCCAGAACTTAACTACCCTTACAGGTAGAAAGCTTTTCCTAATATTTAACCTAAATCTCCCTTCCTGCAGATCAAACCCATTACTTCTTGTCCGACATTCAGTGGCCCTGGAGAACAATTGATCACCATCCTCTTTATAACAGCCCTTAACATATTTGAAGTATATATCTGTACAGTATAGGTATGTGCCTGTACAGCTTATAGCTCACAGTCACCTGCGTGTTAACTAGAGATGGTTGATAAACTCCACCAAATATTTTTGACTGAAATTAAAATTTAGAAAATTTCAACCATCTCTAATGTTAAACTCTATATTTCCATGTTTTTGATTCTGCAAGCCCTTCATGGGTGGAAGTACCTTTTGAAGTCAATGGGAGTTGCTCACATGGATGGCTTGTTGGACTGAGGTGTAGAGAGGATACCTAGCATCTGATTATATGTTGCACCTCCAGGGCAGCCCAGGGGGAAGGGGCAAAGGTATGGCTCTGGGGAAATAGCAAACAGACACGTATGCTGTGCCAGCACTAGGAGAATTCTCCATGGAAGCAATGTATAGGGCTGGAGAACAGGACAGAATCTGTCCTATAATATTTCAGCTTTCAATAGTGCACTCAATTAGAGAATGATATAATATCCCACCAGTACAGGCATTAATATATGGGGACAATTTTCTAGCAACTAGATATTACTGCTCCATAAAATAGTAAACTCTTAAATGCGGTATGATTCATATAGGAAAGATGTAAAAACTCAAAAGCGTCAGTCAAAATGGTGGCCTATGTACATATGGTTGGTGATTAGGGATGTGGTTTTAAAATGGCAATTTTTGTGAAAAAAAATCATTGGATATTTGTTGTGTAAAAGATAAAGGTTATGGAAATACAGAGGCACCCAGCTAAATCTCACTTAACTGATGTGCAAACCTGATGTTTCCCAACATGCCTGGTATGACTCTTGCTGAAGCCAATAGAAAGGCTCTGACTGACTTCATCTGGGAGCTTGAAGCAGGCTCCAATAACCCAGTGATCCCACTTCTTGGCAATGATTTAGCGGCAAAATGCCCATTGAAGTCTCCTACTAGGTAGATTGCTTTGATTTTAGACAATATACAGTAGTGATGCTACAGAGTATTACCTTAAGTAATTAAAGTTATACATGTCAAAATAAATGAACATCGCAAATTGGGCATGATTGTGATCTGACTGGCTCATAAAAAGTGTAACTCCAATGAAGTCAGTGGAATTAGCTAAGTGTGAAAATTGGGGTGAGATCAGAATCAGGCTTACTAAGCACACTTCTGCATTCCTCTCACATCCCAAACAGTAATTGACTAAGAGTTTTGTGTGTGAGGGAATGCAGGACTGGTCCCTTTTGTGATGAATTATCCATTGATTCCTTTTACTGTGCTTGTGAACATAGCCACTAATTCATTAAAGGCTAGATTGTAACTTTACACCCTGAGTAAGAGGCAGCAAGTAGCTGCACTTGCCACCAGGGCAGACCAGAGAAGGAATAACAGTGTTACAATTCCACTCCTGCTTTGCTCTGGAGGGTCGGGCAAAGTAAGTTACTTCATCCCTTTCCTTGGAACAGCTTACTCCTCTAGATGTGTCCAGCCACTCTGGAGCTCCTTCTACTTCCCATACTTTCCCAACCCCTTCCTGCCCACTTGGTTGCAGCAGGGGAATACTGGGTGACGAGCCCCCATTCTTCCTCCTTGCCCCCTGTGGCTGGAGTTGAGCTGAGTTGAGTGAGGAGAGCTGAACTGAGGGGTAGAGGGAGTGGGGGGCTCTATTCCCCTTTGTGGTCAACAAGGGCTGTGCCAATCTAGCCCCAAATTCATAATGGGTCTCCCTGGTATTAAAGTGGATTAGTGAGTTTCTACCATATAATTACAAAAAGGGTAAAAAGTCATGGGCATTGTGTTGAACACCAAACAACCTTTATTTTTCCAGTGTTAGTGAAATTAATCAGAACTATACTTGTGTGGTTTTGGGGGTGGTTTTTTCCTAATCTTGTACGAAGGAGAAACTCCCAGATCTGACCTGTACTAGAGAAGTTGCATCTGTTTAGTTAAACCGATTCCTGATCAATCTAATGAAATGGGTGCAAATCCCTAATCTAGATAAATTTTAAATCAATGTAATTAAACCAGCACAAAAATTCTAATATAAACAAGGCCTTGGATACTATGATGATGGATGCAGTGGATACAGCTTGACAGGATAAACAATTTGTCACCCCAAGAATTAACATCAAGTAGTATGCACAGGTAGCCTATGTAACCAAGCATTTCTATTGCAGTTATTTCCCCCGCCCCCTTACTTCCTATTGTTTGTTACACTCAGTTGTGGCATCTTTTTTTAGCTTGTAGGTTGGTGCAGAGACCTCTGTGAGGCTCTGATCGTGAATGAGGCCACAAGGTGCTACCCTAATACAAATCAATAATAATCTTGCAAAGAGGGCAAAAGTCTGTTCTCAGCTATGTCGCTGTAAATCTGAAGCAGTTGCACTCATTTCAGTGGAGTGGCTTTGGATTGACACTGGTACACCTGAGATCAGAATCTGGCCTAGAAAGTTCACTTGTCCGGTCCTGCTGTCTTTACCTGCCCATTTCTGCGAGATACTGAGCACCATCTGTTTCCACGTAAGTGTTGGAATTGAGGGCACTCAGCACCTCAGAGCACTGAGCTCCGCAAGTCTTTTTGCGCCACCCAGAAATTACCTTGGAAGCTCTCAAAATTCTCATTAAAATCCCATTGTTTACTTTCACATCCATACACTCACATGGAACCCCCCCACCCCTTGCAAAACCCCCTCAAAATGTTAAAAATCAGGATTATTGGTTTCTTAAAACCTGAAAATCAAGGAATCCGTATCACTCATGACGGGGATGACACAGCTGCAGCCCTAATGATGATGTATCAACCACTGAAACAGTAGGGACAGCTAAAATGAGCACGCTTTTCTCTCTGCAAGTTGAACAGTATTCCACATGGGTGCAGTGCTGAAATATGTGATTGTAGAATCTGCCAAAGATTCTGCATTGGTGCTCACTTCTTCCTTCGCTGCTGCATAAGTGTTTATTACCAATCGTTTTATAGCACTGGTAGTGCTCTATGATTGTCACTGCCCTGGTTCCATGACAGAAACAGCAACTTCTCAATTCTCAACCCACGAACGGTCAGAAGGCCAGATCCTCAGCTGATATAAATTGGCACGGCTCCAATGACTTCACGAGAGCTACGCCAACTTTCACCAGCTGCAGATCTGGTTCCCAGGCTGTCACCCTGACCAGCCAGCCACTGAACAAGCCTCCTCCATGAATGCATGCAGCCTTGCAACTTTGTCTGTTTGTGGCTAGTATAACAGAATATGGGATTTTGAATGGGTTTAATTAGTTAAATATAATTAAATATATTTAACATCTATTTTATAATAAGGCATTTTTTACTTTTCTCACAATTTCCCAAGATAAACAACTTAATTAAAATATTTTGCTATTTTCCTTTTTTCTTTAAACGACTAGGATTAATTCCCTTAGAGTCCTAGTGATGTAAAAATCTGGCCCATTTTTTTAACACCCTGAGATGGGCCATTTCACATCGGCACCAACGGCAAATTTATAATGGGAAGTTTCTTGCCAACGTTCCAAACTGATGAATACAGCTATGGTTTGTTGGCAGTGTTGTTGTAGCCATGTTGGTCCCCAAATATGAGAGACAAGGTGGGTGAGATAACATCTTTTACTGGACCAACTACTGTTGGTGAAAGAGATGGGTCTGACCTGAAGAAGAGTTCTGTGGAAAGCTTGTCTCTTTCACCAACAGAAGTTGGTCCAGTAAAAGATATTACCTCACCCATTTTGTCATGCAGCTATGGATTCTCAGTCAAACATCTCTTGTAACAATCACTATTGTTAGGAAGCCTGAAACATAGAGTCAAATTTTCAGTAATGTACATACAGCATTTGCCACCCATATCTAGGCTCATCCTCGAAAACACAAGTTTTTGGGCATATCAGTGGACGAGCTTGCAAATTTTGTGGATTAGGAAGACTGGATGAAAATTATCTCTTTACAATGGAATTTTACAATTGCTGAAGATAGAAAATATTGTACTGCCTTGCGAACAGCATGCCTGAGCAGGATATGCCTTTTGTTCTACTTGTTAGGTCAGCTTGCCACTTCTGACTTTGACACAGAATCTCTTTATTATCTGCACATTAACCTTTTGTGGGATAGGAGGACATCTTATTTTGCATCATGGGCATCCACAGAAGTCCCACCAGTGGAAATTCTTGGGAGCTGTCTAGTGGATGCCCTGGCCACACGACCTCTCTAAGTGGTCATACCCATTTGCTGTACCAGCTGGGTCTGATACTCCCTGGTGGAGTGGCAGTTTTGGGAAGCTTGCAGGGGCCTGTGCTTTAAACTGGGAATGAGTCATGCTCATGGAGTGCTATATCTGTACATGCAAGAACAATATACCTTTGCACATACAACACTAACTACAAATCATTGTCTAGTCTGATGTATATATCCTTCACAGTATGATAGATATCAGGTCCTATTCTGTATTTGTGTTTTAGAGGCTATGTGCTAGTAGTTTCATAATTCAGAACAGCTGGGGCCAGATTGTGACAGAGCCATAGGCTGCTATCAAGCCTATGTGACAGATGCTTACGCCGAC